CCAGTGGGCTAATATACTTGTTTTAAGTTCTGCTACGGACTCATACTGGCGATTTCCTGCATACACCTCTCTGGCTAAATAGCCCCAACAGTTTTCGATGATATTCAGATCAGGGGAACGCGCTGGCCACTCTAAAATATTTATGCTTTTGTCCCGGAAAAAGTCCTTTACTATTTTTTTCGCTGTATGAACGGCAGCATTATCCTGCTGAAATATCATATTCCCTCTAGTATACTGCTGTCCTCGTAGTACTAAATACTTCATTTCCAACTAAATTTAAGTAGTCTACACTTTTCATCTTAGGGTGAATCAAACTTGATTTCAGTTTTTCCGCGATAACCAATTCCTGCCCACATCATCACACTACCCCCTCCATGCTGACGGCGGCTTAAAATGTGTTCATCTTTCCTGAGGTGATAATAATATGCCCAACCATCTGGGCCGTCAAGGTTGAACTTTTTTTTGTCCGTAAAAAGTACCTGACGACAACGTTTTTTCCAACTTAGGGCCGGTTACTCAATGTCTGGTTAACACTAATATGCGGTTAAACATCGTTATCGACGTTACCGACTCCCTGTTATATGCATGGAGTCGAAGACGTCGGTAACGATGTTTAGCCGTAGATTAGTGTTAACCAGACATTGAGTAACCGGCCCTTAAACGAGTTTCTGCAAAACTTAATCGTGCTGTGTTATGTACTGCGGTAAGGGGTGGTTTACGCTGTAATTTTTTATGGTTAATGTGCTGACAGTTTTTTTAAATTCTATGGACATTCCTTATGTTTGTTTTGACACCTGCTTTCCTGGCAGTTAGATGACAATTAGACGCATCACGCAAAATAGCTCGCTTTTCTCTATGAGATACTGCTTTTGATCTGCCACCACCACGATTCTGCCCATAATTTTTAGGGTCTTTTAGCAAATTATAGATGACCTTACGACTTCTATTTAGTGGGTCGATTATCGATAGCAATCGAACTTCTGTTGCGTTATTTTGCGGAAGATTTACGGACCTTTACGCGTTGGCGGCGGCGAGTACCGCAGACGATGGAACGATGAGCTGTATGAGCTTTACAACGACATGGACATAGTGCAATGAATTAAAATACAGCGGCTCCGCTGGCTTGGCCATGTCGTTCGAATGGACACCGACGCTCCAGCTCTGAAAGTATTCAACTCGGAACCCGCTGGTGGTGGCAGAGGAAGAGGGAGGCCCCCACTGCGATGGAAAGATCAGGTGGAGAAGGACTTGGCTTCAGTTGGCACAGAAGAGAAACGACTGGCGTGCTTTGCTGAACTCGGCCAAAATCGCTTAGGCGGTTACAGCGCCAAAAAAGAAGAAGAAGATGTACATCTCTGTGTTCGTATGGAAAAGTAGCTTATGTCGAAAGATTGGCTTTAGTATAAATCGGTATTCGCAGCATGCAATTGCGAATGACTCACTGGCGCTAAACCGTTGAACAAAGTACAAGAAAAAAAGCCGTTTAGCTGAAAAAGTACTAAATTGTATGCCCCTTATTTAGTTTAGCCTAGGTAAAACTAGTTTGTCCTATTATCGGGTTTGGCCGGTAACATATATATGGCCTGGTAGTCTCATAAATTTGTAGATAATAAAAATAGTCAAATTAGGCGTGTTTCCATTCACAGGAATATGATAATATAATAAAATGTTTGAGCTGATGAATACCCAGCTAGAACAGTATGGCTTATAATTCCTTATATGTGCCGTATCACTAAGAAAAGTGTCCCTTATGAATTTGAAATGTTTCCCTTACATTGTACATCCCAAATAGAGAAATTCATTTACGTATGATCTTTTTTCCCCCTCTTTTATATGGGCTTCTAGTGCGCATACATCAAGTTTGATAGCTGTTGACCATACCAATAATGCCTCATGTTCAGTTTTACTAGATCAATTCGTGTTCTCGAGAAAAAAAAATTCACGATTCAAAAATCTGAGTATAGCGGCCAAATTCTTTTCTAAAATCTAGTAATTCTTCGTTTTTATGGCCTATATTTGCTTTGTATTGTATTTTCAACAAAATATAGGCCATAAAATGATAAATGTTCAAAATTTGGAGAAAAAAGATTTTTCAGATTTTTCGATCGGGAAAATTGTTTTTCTCGGAGAACACGAATTGATCTAGTAAATCTGAGTATGAGGCGTTATTGGTATGGCCAACAGCTACCAAACCTGATATATTCGCACTAGAGGTTTTTTTTGTGTTCCACAGTGTTATATAAGGGATACTTTGAGGAATCATATGAGGAATTATACATTACCCAAGTTCACGTATATCCAAATTCGTATCATACAGCAAGCATTGAATACTTTTTATTGTTTTATTTATTTGTTTTTGAAATTAACGATATATTACAGAATTTATAATTAATACGTTGTGTTCATTTTAGTAAATCCACTTTGATTTTTAATTGTGCAAAATTTACTATATACATACAGCATCGNGGGGGGGGGGGGCGCTCGACCCTATTAAGCTGGCATTTCAGGGTACTATTTTATATATATATAAGGAAAATTTGAAAGTTTAGGGGGGGCACCCCCCTGCCCCTACCTGGCTACGCTCATGAGTATCGGTCATATCAATAGCAACCCCATTTCAAGGTGATATTATTTCCTCATTTTTATTTATTTATTTCAAGGAATTTACAATAAAAATACAGTTCATTTTCTAACAAAATACATATAAACCCAATTTTAAAACTTCGTAGAAAACTACTAAAAAATACAACAAATTTTCACCCAAAATTCAAACTTTTTTCTCAGAAGTGTTAGAACTTTTCTGAGCACTCAGTTTTATAGCCCCTTCAATTTTATTCTAATTATATGCAAGTTGAAGTGGCTAAAAATTACCGTAGATATTTTAGAATCGATATAAAAATAAATTGTGTTTATTCGTCTTCCATATAACGAAAAATGCGACTACATATATATCGATGGCTTAGTGGAAAATCGACCTATCTCTGCAGCCAGTTCGAAAACGCCCGATATCAGAAAATTTTTTAACAGCGCCCTATTTCAAAATTTGGATGAAAAACGCCCTATTTTAGAATTTCAATGAAAAACGCCCCATCTCAGAACTCGGTTCAAAAACGCCCTATCTCAGCTGACGATTCAAAAACGCCCTATCTCAGCACATTTTCAATGTATTTTCGTTCGAGATAGGACTTTTTTGAACCGAATAATAATAATAATAATAATAATAATAATATACGGGCAGGTTCTGCAATTCTCTTCCGAGTGAATTTCAACCCCTGCCAATTTGAATTCAAAGCGAGTTTGATTGAAATTCACTCGAAAGTGAATTGCAGAACCTGCCTGATAATAATAATAATAACATACTATAGACATGTAGGATTCTTCAATTAAAAAATTTTAAAATATACCAAAGATTTATTTAGTTAATATATTGCTTAGTTAAGTAGAATATACAGGCAGGTTCTGCAATTCACTTCCGAGTGAATTTGAACCAAATTCACTTTGAATCCGACATTTGGTGTTCTGTGTTTCACTTTCCGAGTTTCATTTCCACATTTTTTTCCAAAATGAATTCCGAGTGAATTTGGATGTTCTGATAAACGAATCCGCGAAAAAATCTTCGGATTTCATTCACTTCGTTTCAAGTTTGTGGATTTTATGCATACACACAAATTTTGAATTAGCGGTTGTGATCGAGACGAAGATGTGAGTAAATTTAAAATTATTAATGAGATATATTAATAAAAAAACTAATAAGAATAATAGAGTAACAAATTTTACATAAATTAATGGTTTCAGGGGAAAACATAAGAATTCTAAACAGGAGGCGGTCCTTCTTAAATTTATGGAAGACCACAAGGACATTGCACGGGGCTACGTAAAGGGAGACAAAACGAAAGTAGACGCTCTGTGGAAGGAGTTAGTCGTCGAACTGAACGAGCATGGTCCTCCCCAAAAGGATGTTTCTGGCTGGAAAAAAGTAAAAAAATATAAAGAAGACGTTCACTTTTTGATGCAAAAATGCGAAACGCAAAAATTAGCGTTTGTTTTGTTGCTTTGCTGTGCGTTTGTGCGAAACGACGCCATAACGGTGATATATGTTTGTTATAAAAAACTGTCGATTTTCCCACTTTCGCTCAAACGCACACAGTTTCGCATCAAAGAGTGAACTCTAGTATACTAATTGGCTATACAAAATATTTTGTAATCGAATTATAACAGGTTTGGATGGATTGGAAGGCGTTCATCAGGAAAAAAGTAGCGCACAATAACTCGGAAGCCAGAGCAACTGGTGGAGGACCATTTAACAAGCATGTCCTTACACCAACAGAAGATGCTATAGCCCAAATGTGCGGAATTTACACTGTGGTGGAGGGCATTTCAGGCACACAAGACTTTGGTGTGTCTTCTGAAAGAAACCAGGAGGCAACCTCCGAAAGCTCCGACGAAGATGCTGTGCCATCTACAAGCCGTGCAGCTATAGCAGCGCGATCCCGTCGACGGGAACCTATGGTGACTGATGCTCTAAAGTCGAACATTAGCGAGCAAACAAATGCAATGAATTCCTTAGCAGAAGGACTTACAGAAAATGTGGAGGCCACAAAGAATGTAAGTAGTGGCATTAGCAGCCTTTTTGAAGCCGTTAAACAAATGACAGCTGCGTTAGTGGAAGGGAATGTTGAAAACAAGCGTCACCATGCTCAAATGGAAAGACTACGCCAAGAAGAAAACAAGCTAAAACTTAAGGAAATTGAAATAGAAGAACTTAAGATGTATTTAAAAAACCATTCTAAACGAAGTAGCTAATATGAACTTTAGTTACTGAAATGAATTAAATTTTAGTTTGCATTACATGTTTAAGTTAATAGTTTCAAGTGAATAGTTTCAAGTGAATTGTTTTAAGTTAAAAATTTTCTGTAAATAATTTTATTTAAGTAGTCTTCTGTAAATAGTTTTCTGTAAATAATTTTCTGTAGATACATATTTTTCAATGTATATATTAATGTATGTTATGGTTTAAATATGAATCTGAACTTTATTTTAATAAATAGTGAATTGCATTTCATTTTATTGAAGTGAATATAAATATGAGCATTTTATTCAATAAGGCGCTTTAAACTTTCAGGAAATTGTATCACTTTAAGTATTCAAATAAATTTTTCATGAATTCGAGAATAGGCGCGTCGCGATATCCTCCCTTATCATTATAGCCTCGCCATCAAGAGTAGCTTCGTTTATTATTCCTTCAACAACAGGTTCATTATCCTCGTCCATAGGGCCTGCCTCAACTAACTCCTGCACTTTATAATGTCTACAGATATTATGTAATGCACAGCAAACATTTGTAATTTGCACCACCTTTTCAGGTTGATATTGTAGAGATCGACAAAGGCACCTAAATCGGCTTTTTAGAACCCCTGTTGTTCTTTCTACAACATTACGCGCTGAAGAATGCTTTAGATTAAATATGTGCTGTGGTGTCCCAACATTTGGGTCTCTAAATGGGGTTAACAAAAAAGGTTGAAGTGCGTACCCAGCATCACCTAAAAGCCACAAGCCGCGTTCACCGTTATCGTAATTGCGTTTGAAGTAATCATGAGCTCTGCTGACACTCCATATCAAAGCATCATGACTTGAACCAGGACGACGAGCGTCAAGTGCTCTGATTACCATATTGTAATCACATATCTACAAAAATATATTCAAAAAATTGAGTTAATTCGAGCATAATTTTTGTCAATAAGTTAAATAAGCACTTACAATCATTGCATTGATGCTAAAATAATCTTTTCTGTTGTAAAATAGGCTGGAATCTTTATGCGGCTTGGTTATTTTAATATGCGTCCCGTCTACGCAACCAATGACTCCGGGTATACCAAAGTTTTGATGAAAATGCTGTTTCGATTTCGTTTTCTCGTCTTCGGTCATGCTTAAATTTATCCACCGGGAACATATATATTTTTCTAAAATCTTTAGCACGCGTGTAATTACTTTTGCAACCGTACTACGACCCATTGCAATATAACTATCTTTTCCCACAGCCTTTTGGAAGCCACCTTCCGCCAAAAACCTTAGTGTGGCCGCCAATTGCAGTTGCGCCGGAATGGATGTTTCTTTTAAATGCAGAACAACAACGTCCAATAACATGTTAAATGCACTTTTGTTGACCCGGTAGCTGGATACGAACCTATTTAAATTTTTTGTACAAAATTGCCACTAAGAGCGAACACCAAGTACTTACACCAATTCAGAGACATCTAAAGGATTGGAATGATCGCGCAGAATCCTTCTATTAAGGGTTTCTTCTGCAAGTCTCTCATTTTCTACTAAAATAGCCGCAAACGTAGTTAATGCCCTCATTTTTAGTTTTTTTTATCCAAAAATTTATTATTTGTTTTGGTTAAATTCACAGCTATCAGCTGTTAAGTTCATCTTTACTTATTCATCACCAGCTTTAGTTCATTTTCAGCGTGAATCAAAAACCGAGTTCTAAAATGAACTAAAAATTCGGTTTTCAGACCACCAAAATCAAATTCACTCGGTTTTAGATTCATTTTCATATTCACTTTCACTCGGATTCCAGAACCTGCCTGATAATCTAGTTTTAATTAATTGAGTGTTTTGACGAGCTTTATTCTCCGGAGCGTGTATTACCACTGCAGGGTTGAATCTTTTAGTATGTATTACCAGACCGAGTCGCTCTTTTAGGTACTGATCCCACATTCGGCCGTCCTGATGACTCAATCGCCCCGAATGAATTCTTCCACATTTTCATGTGTTCTGCAACTGTAGTGGTCTCCCCTAGACCCTCATGATCCCCAACTTTCTTAACCTGGTACCGACCATGTTGAAGCACGGCGGTTGCCTTATAAGGTCCTAAAAACTTGGGTTTCAACTTTAACCGTACCTCGAATTGGGTTCTTTTTACCGCCACGAGGTCATCAATTTTGTATTTTATCTCTGGCTTTCTTTTAGCGTTAAAAGTTTTACAATTTTCTTGTTGGATCTTTTGTATATTTCTTTGTGCTTGTTTTCGCAAATCATTTCTCTCCGTGTGTATTTCAGCAATTGGAGCTTCTTTTAGTAACTCATTTAACCCTAGGTCGTCTGAAATACGCATGTCCAATCCCGTAAGTATTTTGAACGGTGCGAATTTGGTACTTCTGGGAGGGGTATTATTGATAATTTGCTGAACGCGACCTACATGTTTATACCACTAGGTTGGATTATCTTTGCACAACTTCGCTAACATAGGAACTAAAATTTTGTGGATGCGCTCCACCTGCCCATTACCCCGTGGTACGTCCGTATCTATTACCAAATGCTGAATAAAATGTGACTTGCAATACTCTTTAAACGCCTCTGATATAAAAGCCACCCCCTATCAGAAATAATTCTTTTCGGATTACGAAAATCCTACGCGAATTTTTCCAAACTATCAATGACTGATGCAGTGTCAGTTGACCTTACTGGGTACAATTACACAAATTTGGAAAATCCGTCAACAATAACCAAGATATGTTTGTATCTTTTGGCGGTTAATTCCATAGGCCCCACATGGTCTATATGGAAAGCTCCTAGCGGTGCATCTTCTTTATCAATCGGCGTGAGAAAACCTTCCTTTTTTCCTACCTTGCTGTCAGTGATGATGCACTCAACGCAATTCCGAACTACTCTGTCTACTTTTGTACGTAATTGTGGAATATAGAACTCCTTTTCTAAGCATTCTTGAATTTTCTTCGCCCCAAAATAATCTTTGCTATGCGCGATTTTAATAATCTCATCTTCCATCGCAGATGGAACCACCAAAAATTCTAACACAGGGTCTTTGAATAATAAATCGTACTTTACGAAAAAGTCTAAATACTGTTCCTTCCCGAGCACCTTACGTTTTGCTTTAATCCACTCGTCATTCATCTGGGATTCTCTCATCCGATGTCTCATAGAATCTTCCAATAACAAACAGGCTACACGACTCAGTGCGTCGGCATGCTTCATTTTCGTTCCAGAGCGGTGTTCAATTGTGAAATCAAAATCTTGGAGGGAAATGGCCCACCTTGAAACCCTAAACGTAACTTCACTCTTCTGCATAGTTTGGGTAAAAGCGTTACAATCAGTTATAATTTTGAATTTTATCCCCGTCAAATAAATGCGCAATTTTTTGAGTGCTTCGATAATTGCAAGAACTTCGAGTTCATAGGAATGGTATTTTTCTTGCTGTTGACTGGTTCGACGGCTCATGTATTGAACTGGGTGGTATTGCTGGTCATAAGAATCTTTCTGCAGCGAAACTGCGCCATACCCATACATGCACGCGTCGGTATGTATTTCTGTCACCGCTCGTGGATCGTATAATTTAAGTACTGGGGCACTTACTAAAGCTGCTTTTAGTTGTTCAACGGATAAGTATTGTTCCTCGCCCACCTTAAACTTGACATTCTTCCTCAATGAATCAGTAAGCGGCCTAGCCTTAGCTGCGTAATCAGACACGAATCGTCTAAAGTAGGGAGTTAACCCTAGGAAGCGTTGTACCGATTTAACGTTACTTGGCATTGGGAAATTGGTAACCGCTCGTACTTTCTCTTCCGATGGCCTAATCGTGCCATTCTCTATCAGATAACCCAAAAATTAAACCTTTCTTTTTAAAAACTGGCACTTGTCCCAGAAGCTCGCTTTAACGCTTAAGGCTCTCAATGATTGTTTTCGCGTCTTCCGAAGGAAGGGGACGAAGTCTGTTTGCACTCGAAAGATCGATATCAAATCTCGTTGCACTTATAACAGCGGTACTGTTTACCTGGGCAGTTTTTTGCAAAATGAGATGCGTCTCCGCACTTAAAACATTTTTTAGCTTCACCTGAACTAACATTCGGTTTGCGTCAACTCGTTTCGTTTCTGACGGCGGAATTCTGGTAGGGGTAATCTTTTCATAAATCTTAATGTCTTTTTAGTTCACTCACATCTTTAGCTTCATATAGCATTGACTTGTTAATTTTAGACTCAGGTATACCGTTAACGAAGTAATCGATTACACTTTCGTCGTCCTATTTGATAGGCTTTCCTATCTCAATTATGCAGTACATATACTCTAAAAATGATTCACTTACTTTTTTGCGGCGGTTTCTTAAAAGATTACGTATCTCTGCGGAAGACACTGATTAATGTCGAGCAAGTCTGTACCCGTGAAAGATGATACACTGTTTTCGATGCCTCTAAGGGTAAACCGTGAAACGTTTCTATTACGTGAGCCCGTCGCTAACTTCGTCATCAGCAAGATCAAAATATTGGATCAAACGTAACTGTAAATCTGTCTTTTTACCGTCCGTAGCTAATCCTAGCTCCCTAAGCTTCTCTTACAACACTGCTACTGTCGAACTTTTTATCGTTTGAATGTCCATTTTGAATAACTTGTCTTAGATATTCTGAACAAAGTTGGCCCTAGGCGCCGGTTACAAAAATTTATCGTATTTATATAACACTAAAATCTTAACACTAACAATATTTTTGCTCTTTACAATGATATTTTTTTAGTTCATATCGCCCTTGTATTAGTTTGAATCATGAAAAATTTTGTATTTGAATCATATTATGAAAATGAGTTTCAAAACAAACGTTTGACAATATTTCCTACTAGGCTTGCTAAAGGATAAAGGAAATTGTATCGCAAAAAATGTTGTCTTATTTACATTCTATCAAACATCAATAGTTCTCTTTTTCTTACTTTCGGATTTGCTATTTTGCATACACATATTTGTATTCTTCGCGATCGTTCTACTTTAATACATACACTATTGCATACTCACAATACGAATCAATACTACCTGATTTAACAACCGCTGCTGCGGAAGATGTTCTCCACTTGTTGTGCTTAACTCTTTAACTGTTGCACTAAGGGGTATTTGAGCCAAAAAACCGGTCAAAATTATTTAGGGGCCTATATTATCTCAAAATATAATAAAAAACAATATCTAATCAATATTTTGGATTTATTAATAAAAATACATAAAAAAACCAGAAAAAAAATTGTTAAGTAAAATTTTTAGAAAATTTGATTTTATTCGGAGTCAAAGCCATCCGATTCGCTGTTAACATCCGAATCCTCTTCATCATCAGTAATATCTTCAACAGTATTGTCGTCCGACCTATTTAAGTTCGGTGTTGCAGCAATCAAAATGGTTTTTGCCTCGGCGGAAAATGGTAAGATTTTCTTTTTATTCTTTGGCCGACTCGAGCTGAGAGAGGATCGGATGTTAAAAGTAATGTATTTAAAATGTCTCTGTTGCACTAGTTAACGACGTTAATACATATACTGCATATATTACATACATACATACACTACATACATAGCTAACATGCCTGGTCACATACATTACATATATACATAAACTATAATGTACAAATAAACATGTTTGTCTCATAAGTAACAAGAGAATATGATAACATTGTAAACAACCTTCAATAACAAATTTAATCACTAAACCAATAACAAACACCATTTATCATCAGTAGTAGAAATGGTATAAATAGATGTAAGCATAAACATGTAAGGAGTTCGAGATTATACGAATTCAAATAAAGAGCTCTTGCTCAGAAAAATATAAAAATATTTTTTTTTA